CTGACAGGATAGTACAGTGAAGCTCCTTATTATTTTCCACTTTAAGAAACTTGCATTGTGCAAAAAAAGAATACTGTGGCTATTGATTCCATATAAACCAGCAGCTGATTCTATAAATAACTTCAGAGCCGCAGAGAAGTAACACTGTCTGCATTGAAATTGTCTTGTGTTTCCACCAGATAACCTTTGTGAGCCCACTGTCTCTGGTAAATATAATGTGAGTGCATAATGACACATTTTCCACCTTGGCTTTTCATTATTCATAGAGCTGGCAGAGCAGGGATGGGGAATTGTCTGAGCACATTCTCCCTGACAAGTCTTGAGAACCTAGTGCTGTAATATTTAATATGGCATTGCAATAGCTGCAGAGTGGCTGAATGTGGGTTTGTGCCCACCTCCCCTTCCACCACCCCCACCCTCCCCACACACACACACACACACACACACAAGGCATATTCCCCACTGCAGGCAAACAGGCCTGACACCAGGGCATGTGATTTGCCTTTAGAGAGAGATGGGAGGTCAGTGTGCAGGTCAATTCAGAGCCCGATCACTCAATGCCAAACAGCTAGCTAGATAGAGAGCAAACAGCATCGCTGTAAATATGGGCGTATGTTCACTTGCAAAGACACGCTGTGTAACCCGGAGAGATCTAAAGGCAGAGAGACAGAACCATAAATAAATTAAAAATGGAAGGGGAGATAATTAAACATTTAAAAATGACTTAAAAGGATAAAATGCCTCTTTGCATCATGCCTGACCATTTTTGAACGGATCCTATTGATAATGTTATTGAGGATATTATTCCTATTTGTCCAGTAAATATTTCACCAATACAAAATATACAGTTGATTCACTTTACAGTATATTCCGTGAAGCACTTTGAGACGTCTCAAAGACCTGATAAGGTGCTATATCAAATTCAAGGATTATTATTATAATATTGAGGATATTTATTTCAGCCTCACTTTTCTCTAATGTTTAATTTGTACTGCATGCAATAATACATTTTAAAACAACGACCGTGATAATGTGTCTCCAGCCATAACGCAACAACTATTGATGAAACCAGAATTTCACCAACAAGAATGTTGTCTGCCCTTTTATACGGATGGAACTAAATCTTGTAAAAAAATACAGTATAATGTATTCTAAAGACATCGAGCCTAATAAGGAAAAATCTGTGCTATTCTTTCCACCGGGCTTATCTCCTGGGTGGTTGGCCATCACCATGGCAACTCTCGCAAACCACAAATGACGTCAAGAAGAAGGTAGGAAAAAAATACCACTGAGATCATGTGGTAAGGTTCCTCCCAAGCAAATAACGGATAATTCCTGTCATTTGTTGTATAAAGCCATAACCTAACAAGACATCTGTTCAAAATGTAAGGATTATTATTATAATCATTTTTTTTTGAAAACGCGCCTCGCAGAGAAATATAATAATAATTTACTGGAAGGTAAAATATGATATAAAACTTGGCTTTTCATTTCTCTTCTGCTTTTTCTTCTGCTTTGTTCAGGATCAAGTCTATTGCCATCTGGAGCTTCTCCAGGCAACTCAGAGGGTCTCACTCGATTAATAATTGAAATTCCTGTGTCGGTTCTTTTCTGAAGGAAGGCTTAACACAAAATCCTGACAACGTGTAAGAGATGACCCAATGTAGGTCATGCACGCTATGAGACTGAAGGCTTGAAACCTAACAAACCATAACTCTATATGTTTCTCTCCATTTGCAGGGATAAAATCAAGGTCCAATCAGGTGTGTGTTTGCAGATATCATATCAATTCTACATCTGTGGAGAGTGTTGACAAGCTCATTCACTTATCCTGTCCATGCTTTACACACAGTCACCAATGGGGAAAGTAAATGAGCAGGTTACCTTTAGCCACTGTTTTGTGAAAGATGACATCTGCATTAATTTCCCATCAGAGGCATTGAGTGAATGGACTCCAATCCCTGTTCATTTATATGTAAGGAAAACACAGGAACCCAAACCATCCTGCAAAATTCCGAAAATTCCTCTTTCATACAGTTTATATATAGATAGCCTTGTTCTGAAGTCTGTATAGTTGGGCAAGTTTCCTCACTCCACACTCCTGCACAGCATATTCTGTGAAGCGCTTTGAGACGTCAAGTAGACGTGAAAAAGTGCTATATCAAATGCAAGGATTATTATTATTATTATAATGTTTACCTGGCAGTAAGTAGGAACCCAGTTGTTAGTTGATTGGTGGATCGGGTTCCAGGGGTAATAAATCCTTCAAAAAAAAAAATTGGGTCACTCAACCCACGACTGTTTGTGGGCCGCTGCTGTACACAATTAGCTGCTGCGTTTCACCCATAAATATACAGTCAATTCACTTTACAATATATTCTGTGAAGCGCTTTGAGACGTCTAGAAGACATGAAAAGGCGCTCTATCAAATGCAAGGATTATCATTATTATAATACCAACCATTGGGGTGAGGCCAACTGCCTCAAACTCTCACTTTGTTCTTCCTGTGAGGAGAGGAAGGTGGTGTGTGTGTGTGTGTGTGTGGGGAGGGTCTTTGATTGTATCCCCAACCAATATCAGCGCATACTCTTTACAGCAAGCGTCATTGTGAGGTGACCAGAAGCGATTTGTCTCCTCTCTAGCTGAGGTACACTGTAGCTGTAGCTGTAGCAATGCTGTTACAGGACTGACACTCTGGACATTTTCTAAACCCAACTAGGTTCAGGCCTCCGAGACCTGGTCTGTTTTGCTCAATACAACATTGTGCAGCATTTATCCACTGATACATCAAATCATCTCAAAGTGCTTCACACAGTGTCATGTTGCTCAGCGTCAGTCAGTCTGTCTGGCGTGAGTGGTTGAGGATGACATGTCTCCAGGCTTCTCTCTGATGCTGGGCAGCACAGCCCCAGGTTTGTGCTGTGTGAACAACATGTACAATGGAATGCAGTACCTCCTCTTGCAATGATGGGAAAAAATCAAAATCAGTAGAAATATTTGCACGTAGAAACAGGAGGAGGCCATTCAGCCCGCCCAGTCAGCTCCTCTATTATGCTTAAAGTAATAGAATACTTTAATCCCATTTCAGTAATTTGATATTCCGATGTCCTGGCCAACAATCCCCCAAATAAAATTTGCCATGGTCGTTTGTGGGACATTGCTGTGTGCAACTATGACGGCCACATTGGCTTGCAAAATACTCAGTCACTACACTTTACAGTCTATTCTGTGAAGCACTTTGAGGCATTCTCTAGATGTGAAAAGTGCTACATCAAATGCAAGGAATATTATTATTTTCTACCAAGAGCCAGCGCTCTATATTTCTAGATCTGTCGCTCAAATGCTTGGCACAGTGTTCGTGGTGAATGGATTCATAGCACCTCATTTACCAGTAATGTACAATATACTGCATGGACCACAAAAGTCTGATTGTAATAAACTTAGAAAACAAGTGCTCATACAGTAGATTCCTATAACAAACAAACAAACAAATACAAAATCATACAGAGGGTCACTGAAATGGAATTCCATGCAGTGAGCATGACAGCTGCATTAAGAAAAGTTAAATTGCTTTGTTAGCAGCTCAGCGTCCTGTTGATTGTCTCTCCACCCCTCCTTTATGGTACATTGCAGGAAAGGAGATGCCATGCAAGTGCATTTGTGCTTCTGTTCGAATGTAAGAATTTATGTCCGCAAACTGAAGTAGCAGATTATCAGATGAAAAATAATTTGTGCAATCATTATTTTCACCGGAATTAAATGCACAAAATGTGGAGTATGCAATTAAAAAAAATACACATAATAATAGTAATAATAATTATTAGTAGAGAACCAGTGAAATGGAATAATATTCATTGCCTCAATGGAAGATGTCCCAAGGTGTTGGATAGTCCAAGGTTTGTATCTGAGCTGGTTGTAATGATATTCTTAGATGAGGTTCCAGCAGTTGCTTGAAAGTCTGGCCTTCAAGTTGATAGCGCCACAGAATGAAATACTGCAAAATTCCATTCAGGCATACCATCCCCACATTACTATGTATGTTATAATCATCTCCTGAACAGGGCTTTTGTCTCTTCTCTGGGTGGTTGGATTTTTTTAATATTAGTATTCAATGGCTCGTTACACCGCCTTAGTCTTTGCAGAGAGAACAATAGCAGCTTTGATGTTTGTTCACGTAAGATGTTGTATTTACATACAATTTACATAGAGCACAGCTGAACTGCGGAAAGTAACCAGTCTTTCTACTGCTCACTGTTGTAAAAGCAGGTACCGGAGCATAAAGGAGCCCTCTGCTCAGTATCCCGAGTAAAGATGTGCCCCCTACTGGGACACAACCAGCAACGCATTGTAAACTATTTTCAGGACATTTTTCTTGGTTGAACGTTTTATTTATGCAGCACGGCCAGTGATCTTAGTGCCAGGAACGAGATACTGTCGTACCCTCTATAAGGAATCTAACGGGGAGTGGGGGGGGACTGAATATTCTCCCATCTCTTTTGGAATAGTGGCCATAGGAGCTTCAGATCTCGTACCCAGGCAGAGGGGACCTCAGATTTAGTATCTCATGTGAAGGACGACGATCTCCGACAAGGCAGTGGGTGCCCAGCGCTGCCCGAGGATGTGTGACCTCAAAGTCCTGGTGTAGGGGCTGAATCCCCCACAGTGTCCGAGACCGGTTGGCACCCAGTGACGTCTCGGCTCCATCACTGATCCATACTTTATTATAATAATAATCCTTGGATTGGATATAACACGGCTTTGAGACGTCTCCAAGCCCTACCCAGGATACGCTGCACAGTGTAGTAACTGTGAACCATGACATGTTCTTCAATGAGCTCAGAGTGACAGCCGCTCCATCCCGCCCCCACCCACCGCTCGCTCCCTGATTGGTCGGCCCGTGTGATTGACACCCGAACTGGGCGGGCCCTGGGTCCCCGCAGCTCCGCGCTGCCATTGGTCGGGCGGCCTGTCCGTCACGTCAAAGCCCCGCCCCCGCCCTCAGCGCCTCTTTTGTTGGTGGCGGGAAGCCGTGTGGGGGCGACACAGGCGCCGCGGATTGTGCTGCGGAGAGGGGCGGCAGTCGGCGGGAGCTGCCCGGGGGGAGCAGGGATGAGCGGTGGGGTGTACGGAGGCGGTGAGTGGGTTGAGCCGAGCGGCGGCCGCGGACTCGGGGCTGTAGGTCCCACCCGGCGGCGCGGCTGTGTAGGCCCCGCGCAGGGCATGTCGGGCCCCACTGGGGCTGATCGCACAGAGCCGCCTCTCTGCCCCTCCTCTGCCCCTCCTGCCCCCCCTCTGCCCCTCCTGCCCCCCCTCTGCCCCTCCTGCCCCCCCTCTGCCCGTCCTGCCCCCCCTCTGCCCCCTCCTGCCCCCCCCTCTGCCCCTCCTGCCCCCCCCTCCTGCCCCCCTCCTGCCCCCCTGCTCTGCCCCCCCCTCCTGCCCCCCCTCTGCCCCCCCCCCCCTCTGCCCCCCCCCCTCTGCCCCCCTCCTGCCCCCCCTCTGCCCCTCCTGCCCCCCCCTTCTGCCCCTCCTGCCCCCTCCTGCCCCCTTCTGCCCCTCCTGCCCCCCCTCTGCCCCTCCTGCCCCCTCTGCCCCCTCCTGCCCCCCCCCTCTGCCCCTCTGCTCCTGCCTCCCTCTGTCTCCCCTGCTGCCCCTCCTGCATTAGCTCAGCTGGTTTTATATATATATATATATATATATGTGTGTGTGTGAGAGCTGATCGGGGGATAGTTGGGCATTGTTTACACACACATTGAAAACAACAGTCCCAAATCCCTTCATTTATTGCTGCCAAACCAACAGAGCAAGACAGAGACAGTCTGGGCGACCTCCTCCTCCTGTTGACGAGTTTGATTCTACTCAGATTATACATTGCATTTTTATGAGCTAAGTAGGAAATTCTTGACTTTGCAAAGATGTTGTTTTATTGCATTATTTAGTTTTTTCAAAAGAAAGACCCAAAGTGTGCCTTCACGTGAATGAATTAATGGATGGATGAATGAATTTTTTTTGGTGTGACATATTTTAGACATGTTTGAGATGTACTAAGGTAGATTTCAGCATAGGTTTATAAAAGAGCCAGCAATAAACGATTCTGCTACTGCAGGATTTTACTGCATCTGAATCAGGGGCGGTTTAGCATTCTGCTGCGTTCGAAGAGCAGATCATCTTGTAGAGATTCTCATGTTGTTTTGGCTTGGCAGTGTTCTAGAATACTTTGCCAGATTACTCTTGGCTTTCCAAGTCTCTCTTTTCTATTTAGCTGCCAACTCATTTTATTTATTTGCAGATGAAGTTGGGGCCCTTGTTTTTGACATTGGGTCCTACACAGTGAGGGCAGGATATGCTGGAGAAGACTGTCCAAAGGTAAGATAGTTGGCATAACATATCTGCTCCAGTTTTGTAATGAAAATGCATTTTTTAAAAATGCTAAAACTTTTTTTGTTTGGGTTTGTGTTCTTGAAGGATTATCTTTTACACTGCATCATAGATTTATCGCATGTCTTGCATCCTATTCTGTATTTTGTTGGATGTGCAATGTGGATTAAGCATCTTCTTGTGCTTAAAGGCAGACTTTCCAACAGCGATTGGAATGCTGTTGGAACGTGACGATGGGAGCACACCGATGGAAATCGAAGGAGACAAAGGAAAATCGAGTGGCACAACGTACTTTATCGACACAAACTCTTTGCGGGTTCCCCGAGAAAATGTGGAAGTTATCTCTCCTTTGAAAAATGGAATGAGTATGTCATCAGTAGGAGGCTTTATACCAAGAATTACTTTATAATGATTTTAAGTAATTGGCATATGAACTAAATAATTGGATGAATCTTGGCTGATTTTGTTTTTTACAGTTGAAGACTGGGACAGCTTTCAGGGGATCTTAGACCACACTTATAAGAATCATATAAAATCTGAAGCTTGCCTGCACCCTGTTCTGATGTCCGAGGCCCCGGTGAGTGTCTGAATTATCACTCTATTCTTTGCTTTTTTAAAAAAAAAGTAGAACCTGTGAATCTAAACAATAAGTGTGTGTGTAGTATTGGGGTCTATTTACTGAAGTTATTTTATATGTTTAATGCTTTTAATGGTCAAAATATTCTGTATGGACACAAGTGTGGGATTCAATATTGCAAATCCTTTGTGAAATCTTGGACCATCTCATGGCCTCTGTTGCTATTTGTAGTCACACTGTGCTCATGGAAGGGTTGCTTTCATTAACTAATGTTCAATGTGTTTCTTATTTTCACAGTGGAATACTCGGGCAAAGAGGGAAAGGCTCACTGAGTTGATGTTCGAACATTATAATATCCCAGCATTTTTCCTGTGTAAAACTGCTGTGCTCACAGCGTATCCTTTATAAGCACTGAATATTTCACTATGTGTGGGATTTGAACTGGCATATTTTGCGAAGTCTCATCAAAAGTTTCTTGCTAGACTAAACCAGAGGGAAGGGAAATGTAAGTTTATTATATAAACATACATATGATGTGAAATAGTGTTATCTGAATGGGTTTCAGTCTCCTGGATCATTATTATTATTATCATTGAGAAGTGCTTGTGTATCTATTTGTTTACAGCAGACATTTTTCCTTTACCTTTTGTGCTAGCTTTGCTAATGGCCGATCTACAGGCTTAGTGTTAGATAGCGGAGCTACTCATACCACAGCTATTCCGGTGCATGATGGATATGTCCTTCAGCAAAGTAAGTGCAGTGTTAAAAATGATTTGCAAAGCTTGTTGTGATGTGCAACAATCGGTTAAAACACTTTGCTGTATAAATTTTGATTTGTTCTTACTCGCTGTCTCACAGGTTATAATTAAGTTATTTATAATTGTCTAACAACTCAGTGCTTTGCTTATAGTTTTTAATCTGCTTTAATGTAGATCATTAAGAAAATGCTAATGTTTCCTATAGAAATTCACCTGATTTTTGTGGAGCTATTGAATCAGTTTGGTTTTATGGATGACTGCTATGATTTCAGGCATTGTTAAGTCACCACTCGCTGGGGACTTCATTTCCATGCAATGCAGAGAGCTGTTTCAAGAACTAAATGTGGAAATAATTCCTCCATATATGATTGCATCAAAGGTGAGCACAAACCCAAGAATCCATTCCTGACACTTTGAACTAATGTAAATACTGTGATCAGTAGAAACTATTTAAGCATTTCCAAACAATATGAACAATTCATGATCGGATAACTAAGCCTGCCTCATCGTGTGGAAAAAGCTTAAATATCAGTGCTTCATTTTGCTCCCGATTTTGTTGATTGGTTGATTGAATTGAATGGAGATCTCAAACTTTACTGGTAAAGGTGGAGTTACTAACCTTCTGACTGGGGATTGCAGATCATATCTCTTTCCATCGCTTTTACCCCTTTCCTGGGCAAGTTACTGCTGACGTTGATTAGGTGGCGCATATTTCTGAGGTTTGATTCGCCACCCGAGAATACAAGACCCTTCCTTGCACTAAACTGACGCTGTCATTAATTTGGTAGCATATAAGCAAAGTTCGTTATGGTATTGGAGCTTCACTAATCTAGAATCCTTAGCAATTTATGTTTTTAACATTAGGTGGACATTGGCCTAATGCTAAAAATGATTTTTCTTCAGAGACATTACAATTTGCTCCCGTGAGCCTTTGATGTGCTTTCCAGTCTTTACTGCCTCCTGCTGATTCTGGGTGCATTTCTCAACCTCTTCTGCTATTTTTAGGTCATTCCAATAGTTTTCCTATTGGGACATTTGTTTTAAGTTAATATTACATGAATTTTTCACAGGATGTAAGGCAATTGCATTTTCTGTACTCCTCAGGTCGACACCACTGGAAAACCTTCAGCTTCGAAGTCTGCTGAGAGGCCCATCTTACAGTCCTCATTGGCCTCAAAATCCGCTCAGGTATTGGCAAACACTTCTGATAACAAGGCACCTGTGGAGACAAAGAGAATTGCTGCAAGCGACAGCATGGGCCAAGTACCCCATGTGAGGTACTTTGTGATTCTGGCAAACCCAGTTGCCTTGAGCTCTGTACCAAATCCAGCCTTACCTCTAGGATTTACAGCTGGTCTGATAATTTAGTCAATGAAATGACTCTTTCTACCGGATGACTACGTATGGAATTGGCCATTGTTTATGTGCGGCTTCCTTCGGCCCATTCCTCTGACATTTCTTTCTTTTTGGACAGTGGCTGCTCTCAGTAATTCCTTTTCTCACTTGGGCACCTCTTTATTGAGGGATTTCCAACCCACTGGGCTCTGTGTTTCTTCTGTCTGTGTAATCTTCAGCCTTCCAGGGGCCCTTTATCTTTGCTGCCTCTGCTGCTCTCCTGGATGAAGGCTGTTTCCACATGTATAACATACATGGACTTTGTGTGCTGACATTCAGCCAATGGCAATACTCTCTGCTGGATCCAAAATGCTTCCAGTCAAACTAAAGCAGAAGTCATCTTGTCAATTCATAAATATGTCATTAGTTACCAAGACCAGAACTTTCTCAGGCTGAAACTGGTAATTTCAGGATCTCACTGATTTCAGAGAAGATGGAGAGCTTTTCACAGCCGACGAAACCTAAAACTGCGAAGGCCTTTCTTATTGCTGAGTATTCATTATCAGGACATATTCTAAGCATACTAATGTAATCTAGAGTGGCAGCTCTCTGTCACTATCTGTCATGGATGACATTAAGTTGCTTGTACGTCCATGGTCTATATTCTCTTTGGCAGGTGTGATCTTTGGAGACATCATTGACCTGTTGGCTCCCCAAAAGGGTTATAAGGAGTCTATTATCTGACCTGGATGGATGGAGATGTTCCAGAACGCTCCAACTGTTAAGATGCTTCCTGAAAATTTTGGTATTCTAGCCTGTGGCATAGCAACTAGAAACCTTTGCAGCCAAGAAAGAGTCCTGGTTCAGTTGCTTCTGGAGAGACTCGGCTTGTATACATTATGAGTCCTCTTAAACACTTCTGTCTTTCTCTGGATGAGAATTCCTTGGTATTCTTTCACACACGTTTGCACAAACTGTTCCTCTTTTTCCTCTCATTTGTGCATTCTTCTCGGATAGTTTCACTGCTTTTACTTTGGACAGTCTTTCCTTTAAAATGACTCAAATTCTGTCCTGTGTATCCGGCAAGCAAAGCTGCTGGGGAGAAGAGCCTTCACATGGGGTATTGCAGTTTGTTTCTCCCCCTGGCTCGGGGTCAGACACCACCACTGTCAAGCGATCCGGGACGTTACCCTGCGTGAAGGGCGGTATATAAATGCAAGTTGTTATTTCGAAAGGCTTTGAAATCTTCAACCTATAAATGCCATAACTAAATATATCCAATACAAACCAAATGTTGTTTTTGCAGCATCCACAATTGATTGGTAAATGTAATATCAGGTCTTACCGGCTGCCAGGGTTTGAATGCAGGACCTCTATCTGCAACAGCTGTGTAGATACTCTGTATGGTGTCAGTAGGCATTACCAACCTGACTTTGCTATCCAAATGAACATGTATTTGCAGGGTGATGTTTAACTTCACATTTAGCATTTCTAAATGAGTTCCTGTGCCTGCTGGACCGATGATATGTGCTGCGTAAGGTTTGATGGGTGCTGGCATTTCCTCAGTGTGTTACACAGGTTGGGTAAAAATTCTGTTATAATGGATTATTATAATTATAATGGGTTAAATGGCCTTTTCTGGTTTGGGGGTTTTATTTTGCCCCTTCGTGACCTCAGGCTAGCGAAGCCTACCATGGTAACTGTATATATAAATGCTGTGGGTGGTGGGGGCCGGGATCTGAAGGGAAGCCTTTGGATGTTCTCTTAAAGTGTCTACGTTCCCTGTGTTTTTTGTGCCTAGTATGTACAAAAGGCCTAATTCCAGTTATATGGTTATATACCCCAGTTATATACTTTCCTTTGTAGCATAATGTCCAATAAATCTAAAGGTGGGTAATTCCTCTTTTCAGAGAATTGCTTGTTTTGTAAGTTGTGGTTTTTGGATGTCAAACGTAAAAGTACCTGCTCTATTAATTGTTACTTCGTGTTCTAACCAGTGGGTAATAACTGTCCAATGCAACTTGTATAAAGGTTTATGAAGGTTACTTGAAAATTGCTTCAATAGTGCCCCACTTCTAGAGGCAAAGCAATGTATGTTTGTTTTTTTTAAAAAAGTTATCTGGAACATCATTCCTGTCAACTGCTCTCCTAGGAATCTGTTCGTGAGGGATCGCCAGCCAACTGGAAGAAGAAAGACAAACTCCCTCAGGTCACTCGGTCCTGGCATAATTACATGTGCAACGTAAGTGATTGCTTCCCAACTTCTAGCTGGTCGGGAAACTAGTGCTTTATGTTTGTCTCAAAGTCCTGTATTGGACTTCCTATTTCACATTTTGTGTTCACTGTGATTGACGTTCCTCTATCAATTTGCAGGAAGTGATTCAAGATTTCCAGGCTTCAGTGCTCCAGGTGTCTGATTCATCTTATGATGAACAGTAAGTCATGGGTTCTAATGACTCCAGCTCCTCTTCAGACATTATTTCTGTAGGACTCTGCTGTTTTGCTCGATGTTGCCTAAATTAAAAATCATGACATTCTTTATCCCCACAGAGTGGCTGCACAGATGCCCACTGTTCATTATGAATTTCCAAATGGCTATAACTGTGACTTTGGGGCTGAGAGACTACGGATCCCAGAGGGCTTGTTTGATCCTTCCAATGTTAAGGTACTGTTGGGGGTGGGGGTAAAGAAATGACAGTACAGGAAAGAAAAACAAAACCTGACTGCTCAATTATGAATCAATATTAATCAGGATAATGGGAAAGTTAATCTGGTTTGAGAACAGGTATGATGGTGTAAATGGCCTCCATGTATTGAAGTTCAAGAGCAAAAATGACAGATTTGGGCAATGGTTGAGTGTTAGGCATGTGATTTAGTTCTTTAGTGTATTACCTTATAGGTTTTCATTCTCATCTTTTGGATGTATAATCTGTTCAAGAAAGAATAAAATTAAAGTTTAAGCAGAATAAATTGATTCCTATGTGGAGCGATTCTCACTGGCTTAGCATTGCTGTGGACCATATTAATTGTGTCAATGTTTGCAACTTGTCCAGCAGCATCTTCTGGTGCCTCTGATCATTCGTCTCTGTTTGCTGTTTCAGGGTTTGTCTGGAAACACAATGTTGGGTGTCAGCCACGTAGTGACCACAAGTGTTGGAATGTGTGACATTGACATTAGACCGGTGAGAACCTGTATCTACAGTGACTGTACAAAATATTTGTTTAAATTGATTTTAAATGTAGCTACTTGCATAAAGTTCATGAATATTCCCATCATCTGCACCACCGATGCTTAATATCAATAGTTTATTGTTGCATTAATCCAATTTAATGCAGTAACATTGCTCTAGGCTGAGTTATATTGTTCATATTCGCTTTCCCTTTCATCTGGATGATTAGCGATGTAGTAAAAAGGCAGGGAGGGGCGCAGGAGCGAAACGAGAATAATAACAAGATTCAAGAATACGTTTCATTTAGAATTATTATCTTTCCTTTCAGGGATTATATGGCAGTGTCATTGCAGCAGTGATATAGCGCTTTTCATGTCTGGAGGACATCCCAAAGCACTTCACAGAACATACTGCAAAGTGAATTGACTGTATATTTGTGGGCGAACACGGCAGCCAATTGCGCACAGCAATGTCGTAGATTGAAAATGACCAATTTATTATTGTTTTTGGTTTTGGAGGATTATTATTATTCATGTGAAGTAAGGAAACTTGCCCAAGGTTTCGCCCTCTGCCTGGAATTGAACTCGGGTCTCTCGTTTGCAAAGCGAGTGCTCTAACCACTGAGCTACAGGACTCATATATATTATATATAATATATATAGAAATAAAATAGTTTAAAGATTTATTTGACATAACTATTTGAGACTGAACATTACTCTTCCTGAGAAAATGTATCTGTAACAACTATCAAGCTCACTTGCTATAATAATCTGAGTACAATTACTGTTGGATCCTCATCAAAATACTCACCATTGGAGTATTTCTACTGAAGCAAGATTGAGTCAAAACTAGCTGACGAAAGATAGTCAACTGATTCTCATTAAGTAGAGCTACAGATATTTTAGGGAAAGAATTGTAACTTGTACGAGAGAGATGGCTTGTATCATCATAAGCCAGAGCTATGGCAGTGTATTTGGACTATGAATTAGTACTTCAGCCAAGTACTCAAAAAGTATTGCTAAGTTTATACTTATTCAGGATCAAACATGAGATACTTTGCACTTTCCTAAGTACCTTATGTCAACTGAAGATCAGGAACTCACCACCAAGGGAATTGCAGGGCAAAATAGTCATGAATGCAAGGCAAATCTACAAAGTTACAGTAACTTCAAGAAAAAAAGACTCTGTATTGGAATGAGATTTTATTTCTACCGTTGAATAATGACACACACATTTAGAGGAGGTCATTTGGTAATATCTTAACATCCTTAGTATTTGACATGATACAGAAATATTTCTATTTATCAGGGCTCGATTTGTGTGAATTGTCGATCAGGTTTTTATCCAGAGTTTCATAATGGTACCAAGGTCCATCACCCCTCGTTCTCATCAAACGCCTTGCCTCCAGATGCTTCCCCCTAGAAAGACAAAGTATTAGTCAGAAATCAACTCACAGACACTATTACTAAAGTGTCCACATTTGCTAATAAATAATTCAGAAGTATGATCAGTGGGGTTAACAATCTCTATTTCCCCTCAAGTTTGTTTCTCTCCCAGATCCATGCTGCTCAGAGGCTCATCTGCTATTACAGCATGGAACCAAGGAGGAGTTGCAAGAGAACAGATGGGAACCACGAATATTGGCAATTTTCCTTCTTATGATAAACTGCCAGTTATTATTATTATTATAGTACTTCACTACAATAAAGCTGGGTTTGATAACTCAGTGCAAGCGTCCTCCCACTACTTTATAGCAAGATCCTCGTCCTCACCTTTAAGGCCATCCATGGCCTTTGCCCCCTCCTACCTCTCTGACCTGCTGACTCCCTACCAACCTGCTCGCTCCGTCTCTCGCCCGACCCGCCCTACCATCGGTGGCCGGGTTTTCAGCCTCTCTGGAACTCCCACGGTCCCTTCGCTTCGCTTCCTCCCTTGCCTCCTTCAAGGCCGGTCTCAAGACCCTTCTCTTCGACCGTGCCTTTGGTCTCCCTCCCATCTCTCTGCCTTCCCTCACCCCTACCCCACTTCTCCCCCATGCTCGGGTCCTGAACCCTGACTGTTCAGCGTTGTGGGACGTCCTCCCAACGTGAAATGCACTCTATAAATGTCATTTTGTTGTTGTTTGTTGTTGTATTGATGTTCAAAATCAGATCGCTGCACCTAGTGGATGCATAAAGAGTCAGAGCAGTAGAGGTGCAGGAATATAAACACTGTAATTTACCTCAAATCAGCCTTCTCTGCCTCCACAGCAACTAGAGCCATCATTTTCTCATAATCCTTCTCTGGTGGGTCATAGATATTTCTAACAATCCACCTGGTTATTGGATGCTGCAGATATAAAGCAACAGGATTGAGTGCGCAATGTAACGATACATTAATGGTGGCCTGGCAAGCACAAGCACAGTTTGCCTCGGGGAATGTCAAGCTGTTGATTATACTGGCATTCCGATGTGGTCTTCAGTTGAGAGAATAAACAACAACTTGAACTTACACAGGGCAGCGTCCTGGAGCGCTTGACAAGTGGCGGAGTACGACACCAAGCCGGGGGGAGGGAGAGGTGACCGGAAGGAAGAGGAAGATCTTCGGCTGCAACGTGAAGATGGGGAAGGAAGGGGCAAGGTGGAGGGATACAGGAAGAGTGTTCCAGAGTTTCGGGGCGTAATAAAGCTGCAACCTCTGCTGTAATTTTTTTTAAAGATTGCGGACAGCATTCTCTTCAGCACCAAACGCCACCCACCCACTCACTCATCTCTCAACATCATAAATTTCTTATACTGTACACCAGGGTTTCCTCCATGCTTCCATTTCCCCAGTGGTTGACATTATACGTACAGGGCTGCGAGATAAAGGTTGGAAAATGTATTCATTTAACTACTACTTAGAGCATTTTAAAAATGCCACAAGAAGTGAGGTGCATTCGAGTTTAATATAAATACTGTACCTTATGGTATTCCCAATGGTAAGGAATATAGCCTTCAGGGATCTCTGCAAGTTTAGCTTCACCTGTGAAATTCAGTAAGAACAGGAAAGTAACATAAGAAAAGATAAGAGTTGAGAGGCAGTTCGGTTAATACAGTAATTTACACACACCATATCAAGCTGCTTGTACCATCTTTTTTTTCCACACACAATCTCTAGAATTATCATTGTGAAATACTTACTTACCAATAAACACATTGACGTAAGTTATTAAGAGAGCCATTGGTATTCCAGTCAAGCAAATATAGAATCTCTATGGAAACAGAATGAAAACATTCAGAATTTTAATCTAATCTGGAACGGAAGCTCTCATTTGAATACATCTGTATATATTAACTTAGCTGTTAAGGGACAAATTTACTAGTATTGCAATTTACTTCTAAAATACTTCCAGATACAGTTCTCACTTTATCAACCCGGAAAGAGTGAAAGCCCAAGTGGCGCTTGTGAACTTCAAACTCAGAACTCTGTGGTGTTAACCAAACGAGCGAACCGAGATGCATGGATTGCTCATGACATTCAACAATAGAACAAGTCTTCCATATTTGTGGATTGATATAAGAATGTTACACACAACTTTATAAATACCAGTAGTTTCAGGAATCGAGTGTCATAATACTGAGTGGCCTTGATGACAAACATCTGTTTCCCATGGCTACCATGGCGGACGACAACTGCAGATTAAAACAGAAATAACAAGATCTGAACAGGCTGCTGTTAAAATCAAAATGTTAAGTAATTTGGACCTTGGATACAAACTTTACATTGCAATTCCCAATGGGAACTACATAATATTTTATGATATACAGTATTAACTGTATTACCGCAATAATGAACTGTCTGTCACTTGTAATTGGAGCGTTTATATCAGAATTATTAAAGTAATAAAAATAATTCTAAACAAATACCTTTGACACTTTCATCACTTTCTCTTAAATAGAATATGTACATTATTATGCACATTATATAATCCACCTTGCATCAATATCCCTTCTCTACTCTATCAGTCCTTTCGAAGGGAAGCTATGTGGTTTTGTCTGGTTGAACTCCAGTAGTACCTCAGCACACGCTTGCCAATTTAATAATAATAATCCTTACATTTAATAGAGAACCTTTCAGGTCCATTAAGGCTTTGGTTTACATGGTTAAGAGTAGCCGAGAGGGACGAAACCCTTCACTGAGTGACGACAGTCTGCCCGGCCAAGACCTGTTGACGCGCCAGGTTGGCTGGTCTGTCGTCTGCGCTGCAGACCCACTTGGCTAAGGAACTGCCAGAGAGAGATTCTGCCAGTGTGGGGGGGGGCAGTGTGGGGGGGGGGGCAGTGTGTGGGGGGGGCAGTGTGGGGGGGGGGGCAGTGTGTGGGGGGGGCAGTGTGGGGGAGGCAGTGTGTGGGGGGCAGTGTGGGGGGGGCAGTGTGTGGGGGGGGCAGTGTGGGGGGGGGGCAGTGTGGGGGGGGGCAGTGTGGGGGGGGGGCAGTGTGTGGGGGGGGCAGTGTGTGGGGGGGGCAGTGTGGGGGCAGTGTGGGGGGGCAGTGTGGGGGGGGCAGTGTGGGGGGGGCAGTGTGTGGGGGGGCAGTGTGGGGGGGCAGTGTGTGGGGGGGCAGTGTGTGGGGGGGCAGTGTGTGGGGGGGCAGTGTGGGGGGGTGGGGGGGCAGTGTGGGGGGGGGGGCAGTGTGTGGGGGGGGGGGAGCAGTGTGTGGGGGGGCAGTGTGTGGGGGGCAGTGTGTGTGGGGGGGCAGTGTGGGGGGCAGTGTGTGGGGGTGGCAGTGTGTGGGGGGGCAGTGTGTGGGGGTGGCAGTGTGTGGGGGGGGCAGTGTGTGGGGGCAGTGTGTGGGGGGGGCAGTGTGTGGGGGGGGGCAGTGTGTGGGGGGGCAGTGTGTGGGGGGGCAGTGTGTGGGGGGGCAGTGTGGGGGGGCAGTGTGTGGGGGGGGCAGTGTGTGGGGGGGGGGGGGGGGGGGGGGCAGTGTGGGGGGGCAGTGTGGGGGGGGGGCAGTGTGTGGGGGGGGCAGTGTGGGGGGGGCAGTGTGGGGAGGCAGTGTGTGGGGGGGCAGTGGGGGGGGGGGGGGCAGTGTGTGGGGGGGGGCAGTGTGTGGGGGGGGCAGTGTGGGGGGGGGGCAGTGTGGGGGGGGCAGTGTGGGGGGGGGGGGAGTGTGGGGGGGGGTGGGGGGGGCAGTGTGTGTGGGGGGGGCAGGTGGGTCAGTGTGTGGGGGGGCAGTTG